GTTGCCTCCTTGATCTAAAGAAAATAAAATATCTTTGCCTAATTGTATTAAATTTAATGGCAGACTTGGCTTTTCAGAGAATCCATTGAAGATGTGTTCATGTTTCTAACTTTGGATTGAGTTAATTATTATAATGTTTATAAATAAATATTACTACTTAAAAGTTTCAGGAATTGGATATTCACCATTCTCAACCACTCCAAAACAGTCTAATAGGCTTTTAAAGTTGACATGGCACATGCTGACTGTGGTTTTATTTTTTTATTCTAGAGAGACCCTTTTGTAAAGTAGCCTTTCTGATGAACTTTGTAAAAATAAATATTCCTTTTTTGGTCAGTACCCTACTTCTCTAAGCTTGGTTGATCTATGATGATGAATGTAACGCGACTTCTCCGAGAGGGTTCGCCACTCCATGTATATGATTTTGTACGATATTTGACAAACTATTGAAATTTACTATTTTATTTTTTTATAGAATCAATGTCGTACTAATAAAAATAATTACAATTCAGACTATTCTCCTAACTTCCTAAAAAAGTATTTTTGGATTCAAGGTAGTATTAGGGATTTATTACCTTTGAATTTTATGACTTTTAGTATAATGGCATTTTCGTAATTAAGAAATAACGGGCATCAAAAGATTTTATTTTTGGATTCAAAGTAGTATTACGGATTTATTATTTTTGAATTGCATGAATTTTAGTATAATGGCACTTTTCGTAATTAAGAGCTAATGGACACAAGAAAATTTGTAACAAAATGTCAAAGACTTCGTTGAAATTATATTAAAAAAAGTATAAATTAATTGTCCTCATAAAATTTCGATAGGATTCAATAATATAAATAAAGACTTATTAGTTTTTTTTTTTTCTAGTACGTCAATGCTATCCATCGCATCGCAGGGCTCTTTTCGTAATTTGCTCAACATTTTTGCTTTGGAAATTTGACTTAGCACCATCCTGCATGCAGTGATGATCACAAACACATACATTAGTTGAGCCAACTCCCTCCTGCCAACGACTTGTATTTACATTTATTTATTTAGCGGGCCATTTTCTATGTCAACAATCCCAACTAATTTAGGTGAAGTGATTCATAACTACATGTTTACTTTTTGTTGTTTCCTAACAATCACATCAAAAATTTTTGGTTATTGTCGATATGTTGATTAAGATTTGCTGCGAATCCATAATTGCATCGTTTACTTTTTGTTGTTGCCTCATAATCATATCGATTTTTTTTGGGTTATCGTTGGTGTTAGATTAAGGTTTTGCCGGTTTGTCTCTTATTGCAAAATTTGAAGTTCTCGACTAAATCTTATTGATGTTAGTACAAATTGATTGTTAAGTTTGTCAATTTGTCTCTTATTGCAAAATTTGAAGTTCTCGACTAAATCTTATTGATGTTAGTACGAATTGATTGTTAAGTCAGCATGTAGGAAGAAACTTCTTGATTTGTCGGTAATAAATTTGTTGCTCGTTATATCTTATGTTGTTTACCGACAAAGTTGTTAGCTTACTTGGAGCAGCAAAAGTTTGGCATTGTCTGACCAAGTAGTGGCATACAACACAACATTATTTCTTTGAATTGCCTTCATACCCCTTAATTTACACATTAATTTCTGCAATTACGGAGGTGCCCTGCCGGAAATTTTTAAATTTCGCATTTATCCCCCATTAATCAACATTTATAGTGTTTTCTATTCTACATTGACCACCTAAATTGAAAATTCTAAAATCCGTGCTCTGTGCCCTGCCTACAAGTGTTGCAATTTAAAGGGCGTGTTCTATAAATGGAACCAGGATGTGAAGATTGTTGATAAATCTTTATATTTAGGTTAGCTTTAGGATTCATTCTTTTATTTATTTTCCTTTTTCCTTAAAGTAATATATTATTTATTTGCTTAGACTGATTGCGTCTCAAATCACTTTTTCACCAAAGAAATTAGAGTTGCCTAGTCGATGAAGGTTAGGCATACTTACCGGCAAAAAGAATTCAAAACATTTTTTGCAGACCTGTGACTAAGACTGATAGTTAAACGAGTTCTTAGCCGAGCTAAAAAAATTGTTTAACTTCTACTCATTTTCTGAACAAGCTGAGTGTAAATGAGTCCAAAACGATTCGAACCCGAGCCAAGCCTAAGTATTTGCACATAAACAAGATGAGTCTATCAAGTTCAAGTCAAGTCTGTCGGACTCATTTTTCATACGAGCCTAAAAAATTATTCAAATTCGATTCATTTAAAAAATAAGCCGAACTCAAGTAGCTCGGTTTGATTAATAGCCTCACCCATGGTTTCCAATTCAAAATCTCATCCTTTTGGGCAGTGAACTACATTGTGATCATGGATTTATTTATGCATATGTATGCAATCTTATTTATTCATACTATCTGATTTTGTTCATGATTAAGGCACCCAAGAGGAAGCAGCAGCAGCATATGACATTGCAGCATTACAGTACAGAGGGATGAATGCAGTGACCAATTTTGACATTAGCATGTATGCGGACCACTGGAAAAAAATCGAGGAAACTCAACAGCAAAATCCTGATTCCTCCACTGAAGCACAAGCAGATGAGCAACAAGACCATGATCAGCCACATCAACAAGATCAAGAAGAAGAAAAAGAAAAAGAACAAGTGGCATTGCAGAAACCCAAAAACTTGCCGCTCATACCTTCCCTCGAGTCCGACACAATGCAGTATATGGATCCCACGGATGAGCACAAGCACCCATGGAGCTTGGGCTTGGATAACGGATTCAATTTGCTTCCGGTCCCCGATTTTCCAAACGAGAGACCGGGCGAGTTAGCAGATTTGTTTAATGACCCAGTCTTTGAGGATCTAGGCTTCATATTCGATGAACCTTGCATTGAAAATGAGTTTGACCAGGTTGGTTTGTGGGATAGTACAGATTGGGGGATCCAACCTGATGTTTTGGTCGAGAGGGATGAGGAAACTTCTCCATCATCCTTGTCGCCCTCATCATCGTCTTCTTCGACAACCACCTCAGTTTCTTGCAATGTCTAAGTCTTCTTGGAAGGTTTGGAACCTTGGACCTTGTGGGCTTGTCGGAGTTTGGTCAGCTTTGGTGTTGAGGTTTGTTGTGTGTCTGATAGGAAACATTCTACATATCTTTCGTTTTTTCTTCCCCTTTATTCTTTTATTCTCCCATCATTAAAAGAGTAGGTCAACCCCCCCCCCCCC